CCCTCGGCTAACCGTCTTCAGCAGCTCACTTCCCGAATCGTCATGTGGAATGTATTTTGGGTTTGTGCGAACCGGAACCGTACGGGCGATACTTTTCCTGAAGGGTCTTTTGGGTTCCTGACGACCTCGCTCGGATCCCATGAACACCAAGGAATAGCTGCCACGTCCGGGAGTCGAAGCCGCGGACCAGAGTGCCGTCGGAGCGCTGCCTGCCCCCCAGTCGGCCTTCGCACTCTTGGCTTACGTCGGAACACTGCTGGCCGAAGTTCTCGCAACAGAGCGGCAACTAGATAATAAGACACGACGATTGCGATCGATCCCAATGCCGCGACAAACGAGACTGATTACGCTTCCAGGCCGCACGGAGTCAAGGTCACGGGGGAAACTCCGAAGATCTGACCAGGGGCGAATCGCATGGCGGGAACCGACGTGGGGAAAATCGAACAAATGGACGGAAATCGAGATTCATCGCTTCGAGGAGCGTTCGACCCATTCGGCCAGTTCCCTGAAGACATGATGCGCTCCTGCAAATCTCTCCCGAGTTTTCGCTCAACATTTCTCCGTTTGACATAGGCTCCGACTGTTAGCTCAGATTCTGACTGAGCGCAATCTGAGGGATCATTTCGAAGCTCGGAGTTACGATTCGATCTCAGCCAGTAATCCCTCCTCGAGCCTGACCGACCCCGCCGCGCCTTCGTCACTCCTAAGCGGGCGCGAGAACACGAGCGCCGATCCCCTCGGAGTGGGGGAATTCTCGATCGGCTCGGCACATATCATATCGGTATCGGTCGCCTGACTCTCGAGCGATCGTGCGAGATCGCTCACACTTGAAGTTGGAGATGAGTCCGGGAAAAAAAGTTTTATATATCCCATCGTCGAGGTCTGGTTGTTTAGATCCGGGCTCGGCCGAGGAAATCAACGCGGGCCCACTCTCAGGAGCGGCCGAGTCGCGTCAGCTCGCGAATTACGAAAAGTCGTGAAGGTTCGGAGAAAAAAAAGGAGATATCATATTTCGCACTGCCGTATGTAAGATAGTACATACAGCACGAGGCGGGATCAGGTGAGGCTCCAATTCGAGATTCGGCAGGGACCCCGAAACAAAACAGAAAAACACACATCCGCCGACGGAACTTCAAGGACGCACCGAGAATCGTCCTCCTAGTCAACACATTCCTATCGGGACCTCTAAGTCTCGCAGGATCACTCACAGGAGAATTCGCGAAACTTCGCCTCAGAAAGAAAAAACTTCCAGCTCTCGCTCTTTTCGGGAGCAGGGTAGAAATATTCGACGGCGGGGTCAGAGCGCCTCTCGTAATAACTAACCTGTCATAAACTAGGCGACGGCCTATTTTCTCTTCTACGCTGGCTCCTCGTTTGTATCTGCGTTTAGTCGGCGGCACACTGAGTTCCTCGACACTTATACCCTCCTTTCAGTTTCACTGTAGAAGTCGAACGTTACGAGGAAGAACGGGAAGATATCAAAGCTGGGCCCGTCGTCTCCTTAGGCAAGCACTCGTCTCTGTCAAGGTTGGTCATCGCGGTCGTTTTCGTTGGTGTTTTCATCACTCGCTTGTAGTTCTCTCAATTTCTCTCGGGCACAAATTCATCTCATGGCATCTTTTGGCACTCGAAACTCAAAAACCTTTGCCATCATCGGCAGAGGTTGGAATTCGGCGGTTCGGTTTAAGCTTTTCTCTCTCTATCTCAAACACGTTCACGAACAGAACAGCAGCTCCTCTTCCTCGAAAGCAGATGGGTTGCACACACTACTGTAATCCAATGGAGCGGAGGCGGTGGCGATGGCGGTTATCACTACGATTGGCTTCTGAAACAATGACGTTCCTGACGTCGTCGTTCACATCTCGGCGAACACTAGTTTCCTCCAGGGCCGAACACTACGTGAGGAATCGATTTCCGGCGAAATCCAGCGGTCGATGCTTCTCTGCTTTAGCTTTGTGGCGGCCTTCCCAAGGATGAAGGTTGCTCGTCGCGGTTAATCCCTGATTGCCGCCGTGCGAGCTGCGCATACGTACAGCACGCGGGCGGGCGGACGGATGGACGGACGCGCACTTTCAAAATTGTTTGGTCGCGCGCAGGTCCTGCGGGCGCGCTTTATAGTTGTTGCTCCTGTTTGCGTCGTCAACGTGTACAGCGGCGTGAGAGAAAAAAAGCCGGTATTGCGCGCGGTGGACTGAAAACCAAAGCTCAATGACCCGAGCGGGTCGAAGCCGGAGTCTACGGAGTGCACCTGAACTTTTCCGTCACTGACGAACTCGGCTACGGATATGAAACAAATTTTCGAACGTAGGCGAACTGCGTGGCACGGCGCGAAGGTCTAGCGCTCCCTCGCTTTGCCAGCCCGCATCTGAGAAGGAGGATGCAGTGGTCGGAGGGCCCCTGGACCCCTCAACTTAGGGCCCTACGGCAGCGCCCTCTGGAAGCCGTTCCCTGAGAATCGTCGATGTTCAACAACCAAACTTTGCCACGTGTTTCCCCAGGCCGCTGATTCTTCGAGGAAGCACTGAGATCCGGAATCAATCGGAATGTTCATAGTCCCGGGAGCGAATCTCTTTGATTGCCGACGGAGGAGAAGCGGATGGCTTTGGAAGAGTCACCACGAGATTATGGGTCCGTCAGGTGCCTCAATGTGAAAGGTTATCTCCATGAGATGAATAGTTCGCTTTCCTTTACGGTGACCGTGATCTGCGTCTCGTTGGGGAGTGAGAAGCTTCCATGGCCTGTGGCTGTTGCAAGGAAAACCGGAGATCGAACACAGGATATTTCTATATGCTTCGAGCACCGAATCTTGCGCTGACCGTCGGATGATCATGAGACTGTGTGCGGCTGTGACCTTTTCCGCCGGTGTTATCAGATTGGTAAAATACTCTCGATTCATCAGATTGTAAAGTAGAGGAATAATTTCAGTCTCGGATTCGTGGGGTACATTCGCTGGACGTGTCCGGCGATCACGCTCTCGATGACACTCAGTCCCCGTCCGTCGGCTCTCCCCGTAGAGAAGTACGCTGGATGCCCAAAGAAAATTCAACGCGAATTCCGGAACAACTCCAGAATATGTATGACGAGGTGCCACCGCCAACGGGGCGATCTTTCGTGTCCGGTAGAGCGTGCGCGATATGGTACTTTTTGCGAGAAAGCGAGTCGAGCTGGGAATGGTCCTCGTACGAACATTCCGGCTCGGGACTTACCGAGAGTTGAAGCGGACTCCGAGGCTCCTTGGCCTGCATCTGGCGCCGTCGGAGCGAGCTGACCAGCAGAACGCAGAACGCTAGGCGGAATCGTCGACATCAGATTACCGGATAAATGACGGGGGGAAAGCTCGATGCTTCAATGGCAGACGAGGCGGATCTCGGAACGGAAGCGACAGGGCATACGATCGAGGCATAATGTGGTTGGGAAGGCTGCCGGAACCGATTCCCGATCCGCAGGAATTGACTTGCTCCTATGAATCATAGCACAGAGCAAGAGGAAAGAAACCAACATGGTAATGTACACATGTTTATACCCAGCACTCGGCTCCTCGGATTGGCACCGGCATCGGTCTGCTACAAAGAAAATTCACGGGTGGATGGTGAAGAACCGTCCGCATCCGCATCATGAGCGCTGGACGGAGCACGAGGAAAATACTCCGCGGGCGAGGAAGAGGGATTGAGGTGGGTCTTCGTCATTCAACGGTAGCGTTTATTCTCATTCGACTGGGAGTTCAGGCAACATCGACGCATGGACTAGCAAGATTTGGTAGCTTTCCCCGGATCGCCAGTGATGGGAGGAGCGCCAAGGCCTGACCGCGCCTTAGATTGAACGTCATCACGCCTCGCAAGCTCAGTTCCGCGGTAGAACACATTCCGCGAAGGGGAAAGAAGCAAGGGAGAGATTGCAGAAGCGAGCTCAGCTTGTTTTCTTTGGAGGCGGAACGGGTGGAGAATATCTCAAGAGCTCCATCTTCGCCATGAAAATACTCCGCGAGACAGAAGAGTTTCTGTCTCGCTGGATTTTCCGATGAGGTCGCCCATAAAACTCGGAAGATGATATCTGGCAAACGCTTGAACCAGTAAGTCATGCTGTCGACACAGCCGGCAAGCGAATTAAGCATGTAGTTCGGATTCCGGATCGAGGACATGGCCCCAAATCGGTACGCTCCCCCTAATTCGGGGTGGTGTGTGTCTGCTACCGGAGCAATCTCGCCAAAAGGAAATTGATATCGGGCATATCGGTGCGCACGAGTGTGTTGAAGGATCTGAGAATAGATCGAGGGCTCAGCCAGTTATGGACCTCCTTGCAGAAGCAGCGATGGAGAAGTGCTACATATGTGCCGAGAGCGAAAGCGCCGCAGACCAACGCACCGCACCAAAGAAGGCCACACCGAGCCGTGGACATCGGAGGTCCGGATGCATCGGTTTGCTTGCGGAATCGCTCCACAGTCGTTTCCATCGATTACTGCTCGGGAGGTGAAGCTCGAAGCCTCGGCAGCCGTCGTTATGGCAATCTTCGGACTGCCCTACAGGGAAGGACTCCAACGTTGCATCGCACGGGGCAAGGGCGTCGCATTCTATATGGGAGCATTTCAGAATAAGGCTGCCGAGGTCGAACCACTGGCTAGTAGAAATCCTCTGGATAACAGTGGAAAGCCCTTCTGACTAGAGGCCTGCTTGAAATCGATTCGAACGATGAGAGCAATGGCGCTTGCAGTGGAAGCGATGTTCATTGCTCGAAGCTTTAAACAGGGAGCTCTAATTAGAACGGCACGCACAGGATCCCTGAAGACCGATTCGAGCTAGCAAGGAGGCGGGTACTCCCGAGATTCCGAGCACGTTCGGGTCGAGGTCCTTTCATATCTTTCTGAAGCTAGGTTTTCCTTGGCTGGGGGAAGCATCAAGTTCATGATGCAGAATCGGTCTATGCTATGGATCGTCTTTGGATAGAGGAAACTGACGGCAAGTAGAACCGAAAATTCTGTTGGAGATACCGAAGAGCTCACAATCTTCCGTTGCTTTCATTTATTGAGAAATATGTTTTGCTTTCCGGTTTAATGGAACAACAAATATTGACGATAAGGCTCACATCCGTCATGGTCGATAAGTTTTAAAGAGTCCAGCGTCTAGCGTATACAAAGCGATAAAGAAACTCTGTGGAATCGCGGTATTGGATCGCAATCCTCGATTCCGCCAAGACCGAGATAATTCGGGCGGAGTTGGAGCAGGGCAAAGCAACGGCGGCGCTTGGCCTTGAAATCATCCTGATGGATAGGCCTGAGACCTGGGAGTTTTTTCTTATTATACAACACAATTCTTCCCTTGAAAAAATTGAGAATAATAGGGACCGCTGTCCTCGCCAATCAGCGGTAGACGACAGCAGCATCGACGCTATGAACAGATGTCGAGAAACTTTTGATTTTCACCATTTGACCGCCTTCAATCAACATGGGTTTCGAGTCGGCCCAGAGTTCTTCGTTGACTTCTCCATCCTTTTTCGTGTACACCAACAGGTCAAAAGCCACTGGAAAGAATTTCTCTCACTGTTCAGATATATTTTGACAGACTCTGGAGTGAGACTTAGAGGATTGAGCCGGGTGCAAGAATTTGGAGAGACTCACACTGTCCCTCAAGTTGCGGTAGAAAGGTTACACTGGCGACAATTTGCCGAATGATGGCTGCGATTTCTTGCTGGATCGTTTTCAGCTCTTTCGTTTTCGGGGCACTTTCCTCGGTCATTTCTTCGTCGACATGGACTTTGAATTCCCATCGCTCCAAAGTTTCTTTCGTTTCGACATCGGCAATAACCTGTGGGAATGAATAACCGAATTGGCTTGCCTCCAATGCCAATGCAAAGGATACCACGACCGCAAAAGATGCATCGTTTCTTCTTTTTGAGCACAAATGTCTCACAGGGGATACTCCGAGGTCACTCACAAGCACAAGCTGCCGAATCATCTTCTTCCTCAGGAGTTCTTTTAGTTGATTGGCGACACCTTGGAGGTAATCCTTGAGACGCTCATCGTCTGTGACCAGCATGGTGAGGCCATACTTCTGGACGCGGCAAAAGTTTTCGGGAGGATAAACGCCTCTCTGATACAAGATGCTGTTCACGCTGAATTCTGCGAAGTTGAATCGGCTTTTAGCAAGAAGTGAGTAGTCAGCTCGATCGGGATCTGATGGCGAGGATAGATGGTCCATCGAGGGAGAGACTGAAAAGCTTCACCGAAGAATTCCGCCACGATTGCCGCAGACCCTTGGAGGGTGACTGTGTTGCTCTGAAGTGTGGTGGCCATGCTGTCGAACCGCGACACCGCTGGAAAAAAAGTGGCTACTTGAAGGATCGTCTCTCGGAAGCACTGAGTGTCCCAAGAGCACAGCCGGAGCTATCGAGAAGTTTAGTCTTTGAACATCTGTTCTCCGACGATTCGTCAACGAGCGGGTCGATGGGGTCGGCGCGGACGCAATGCAAGTTGGGGAATAGTCGGACTCGAGCTGCCCCCCCCCCTGCAGAATGAGTCTGAATAACGAGCCGGGACAGGAACGAACTAAATGAAGATTTTCGAGAGGAATCATCCAAAACTTCCGCCCGCACGGGGAGGGTCTGCCTTTTCCCACCGATCCCCTTTTAGATTGGAAGCGTAGGTCGACGCCCGTCTGACTCACTCACCCTTGAGACTGCTCGTGAAGCTCTTATCGAGGATGTGGAGCGCTCTCCAGCTTCAGTTTGTTCCAATGGACCAACGACGGCCAGTAAACATTCGCAGTACGAGCTTTAAGAGACCGCGCTCAGATGATGACTGTGATCCGATACGGTCTCCGACTTATCGATTCGGGCGGCCGGACCTCAGAGCCACAGGAGGAATTTTTCTCTGACGCGCTCATCGGATGCGGCTCTGACGGCCCTGGAGCATGCACATTTGAAGTACATAAGATATGCCATATGCGCAGAGGAATATCCGTGCTCCCGGTCGGGGGCTGATGATCCGACTCGCTTAGATCGATTCCCGAATTCTGCGAAGAATCGATTCGAAGGGATTTCGAAAATCGAGATTCTGTCTTCTGTCGTATCTCTGACTCTCATGCTCATCTGCGGAGCGACGTGAGCACTATCTTGATGATGGTCAGCCTTGTGCTCTTCCGGACGTCCCTTGACTCCACAGAATCTTCCTCGTGTCTTTCAGGCAGGCTGACATGTCGCATCCACTTTCGCCGACCCACCCGACTCGGTGGGAAGAAGGCATCGATGCGGCATAGTACGGAGCCCGGAGCCGCTTCCGGCTGAGCCGAATCGCGAAGTTCCTTTGCGAGCTCCGCCGCTGAATATTCGTTATGGCGTTGTCCTCAATTCACGACCCGTGTCTTCTCCTACCGCTGTCCTTCGCGAGAGCACGGCATGCTCCTGTTTGTACGAGACCCAAGAAGTCACCAGCGCGCTGTAACGCTCCTTCGCCTTTCAAGGAGCGCGGTTTTCTAAACCTGCACCAGAAAACCTCCTTGACTTTCTCGGCATACACGTCAGACGGGAAATGGGATAGAGAAGAGGACATTATCCGAAGTCCTCGCTCATCACAATGGCTTGCCTATGCCGGAGCACTGACTTCGCTTAGCAGAAACTACAGAATCGGGGCCATCCTAAGCAAGCGGAAACAGATTCGGGAACTGTCACAGTCGCCCTGAACAGGGCGTGTTCCAATGCGAACATTTTCGACCACCTGGATAATGCATCGATGATATAATAATCAGGTACACGAGGGCTTCCACTAGTGCTGCAGAATTTACATGTGTATACTCGAATGCTCGCTCCCAAGGTCTGACAGCCGCTTCCCATAGGCCCATCGGCGCTCTCTGAGAATCTCGATCGAGTTGTACGCAAACGTCGTCTCCGTGACGACGAGCCGCGCGGTCCGACTTTCACAAGCAAGCTTCATGCTTTCGCAGTCGCCCTCATGAACTTTGGAAGAGATTTTCTTGCGCAGCACATTCGGAACCTCCACCCTGTCTCCGGAAAATAAGCGTGCATCCCTGTGTCCGCGATAGACAGAGTCTTCCTCCGCCTGTAGCAGTCCCGAAGTCCTCCCCGACACCCAAATACGTTTCCCGTGGGAAATGCAATACACAGGCTTCAGCTCGACGTTTCTCGATATTTCTGGTCCTCCGTGCGCTGCTTGAGACGCTGCTGGAAGCTCTGCTCTTTTGATGAGCTCATGAGAGCTCAGGAGGCTTCGTGAGGAACTCCTATTATTGAGGACGAGAAAAGGAGCAAGCACGGAATGGCAAGAAGCGGTTGTCTCCGTCGGATCACTCGATGAAAGAATGATGTTTCTGGTCAGTCGGTAGAAGTATCAAGGATTGGATGTGACGGAGTTCCGTATCTAGTTGCCTCGAATTTTTTCCGGGAATTATCTCACGACGATTCCACTGGATTCCACGTTCGGGCGTCCCGGCTGAAGCCCCTTGGATTGTGCTGCGCTCAGGAGCTGAGGAATTTGGGGAAATTCCCACAACCAAGGTCAATCGGAGAGGGACCGGCCGGGCTGAAGTGAAGTTTCCATTCACTTTCAAAAGCACCCGACATTGTTGACGAGAATGTGATCAGACGACGATGGTTAAAAACTCGACGTGAAAGCCGCTTGTCGGTACATGCATGACTCCATCTGGAAAACAGCCGGACCGTGTACTTGACGCGGATCATTCCCTCCTCGAATCGATAGCCAAGAGTTCGTGGGTCATTCCTGACGAGAAGTTCGGTAATTTCGCAGATAGACAATTTGGGCTGAACATGATTGGTATAGAAACATTATTCCACACAACGGGAAGGACGAGTATTGCGTCACAAACTTGAATCCGGCGAATTCTATTGATTACACTTGCTGGCTTGATTCGATGCGGACTGTCGGAACCTGGAAGGCTTACTGGTTTGTTGGCGGACGGAAGGGCAATCCAACAGACGGTCTGATGAGCGGCTTTTAAAGTCTCGCCGACGAGAGTCGAGGACAAAAGACCGTCCCCGCTCTCTCAGTACATGAAATTCTTTGCGCAACATTGCGTGCATGAGCTCGGTAACTTACTTGAGGGTTGACGGTTGTCGTCCGCCAGCGGATTCGTCGACCCGCTGAGAGATGTTTCGACACTGTGTCATCTTAGTGACGATCGTTGCCTCCTCAGAAGTTCTCCACGTCCTCGCAGAGCTTGATCCTGATGTCGGGAAGAACTTCGTGAGTACCTTTAGCAACATCCCTATCTCCAAGCGGGGAGCCCGAAGGGGTTCGTGGGAGTGGGAGATTCGTGTCTGTGCTCAGCGTCGGACTCGGCAGCGCTTGCATCGGCTCGGAAGCCGTAAACTGGTTCCGTCCGCGGATGTTCCGAGGGGGAATATCCCTGAGGAGGACGAACGAAATCCTTAAATTGCCCTCTGTGACATAAGACATCTAAGCTCTATACTTCGAGTTGCGGGAGCGCGGAACGCTAAGTCTTCAAAACACGGGGTATTATTACGTATCGGGTACCTATCGGGATGCCGTGAATGTTGTAATGCACGGGCATTCAACGGAGATCAACGGATCTCAACTGATTACAAAGGCTTTAACCCCTCGAAGATATGTGAATCATTAGAAACCATTCATGATAGGAAATAGTACCGTGTTCAATCATTTCTAAGAAAGGGGAAGGCAGTCTCCAGTATTAGGGCACTTTCGAGGTTGTGAATGCAAGGGGAGGAGTCGCGAAAAGCAGAAAACTTTTTCTGCGGCTCCGCTGCTGTAGGAAACCATTATGCTCGGGGTGGTGTTTGATTTGATCCGTTCAATATTGTCCGCAAGAGTTAGTGACCCAAGTCTCCCGCTGATGGGCGAGAAGTACACGGGCAGTCTCCGTCAGAGCAGGTTTCGTGAGGTCAAAAAATAGACGGGCATGCCCCGCAATCGGAATAATCGAGTTAATTGCCCCCGGGAGTCCGAATGGGACCTCAGCTCAGAGATGGTCATGATCACGGATTCGTTCAAAATTATCATAATCCATACCAATCATTATAATCCTACCCGAAATCATGAGAGGGACTCGAAAATCCACGATTGGGGTGTCGGAAATGCCTTCGGATCTATCCGAGGTCGTCGATGAGAATTCGACGCCACGTATCGCCCACCTCTACTCTCTGGGGCTCAAACCGTATACACGAACTCGAAAAGGAGATCAAGTCAATCATTATCATCCGGATTATTATCCACGTGATAGTCACCATAGTCTCGATTCATAAGAATCACGATGACGCCAATCAGCTCGGTGCAATCGGTTTCCCGGGCAGCAGGGAAAACCCTTGATTTTTCTCGGGGACGAGAAGTAGCTCACACGGTGATTGATCTTGCTCTTTCGCGATGCACGCTCAGACGCTTGAATCGTCAAGTTATCCACGCGGGAAGGTGTGGAGTGTCAGACGATTCTTCTTCTTTGACCCGATCGACTTGAGCTCCGCTGCAAACAACATTCTCTTCTTCCATTTCCTCGTACTCGGCGGATCATTAGTCTGGTCAGACTCTGCCGCTCGATAAGCGGAGTGACTCGGAATCGATGGGTTCAGCCTGGGCTATCATTAGCAGGAGCGTAATCTCGGCATGGAATAATCGAGAATGAAAGCTAAGAAATGTGACCATATGGACGAATCTGCACGATGGATCTCAGAATAGTTTACAGTACCTCGACTTACAGTCGTCTCGACTTACGACCGATTCGACTTACGATCCTTTTTTCTAGAAGAATTTGTTTCGACTTCCGAACGATTAATTCGAGTTGCGTCCGATTTTTTGGGGCGAATAATTCGCGGTTGTCGCTCGACTCGCTCTGAATTAATATGTGCACAACTAATGAACTGAGGTTTTGTTGTCGATGAATACACATTTCGCGGTCCATCTACCCCGCTCTGAGCTGATCTAATCGCCCCACTATGGGCTCCTATGGGAAATTCTGTTTCGAATCACGATCTTTTCGACTCACGATCGGTATCCGGGAACGGATTAAGATCGTAAGTCGAGGTACCACTGTACTGCTTCCGACAGGCGGCATCTCCTGCTGAATCACCTGCCTGTATTGTCGAATGTTCCTCTTGAGGATGGAGTGGGCACGATTGTGGTCCTGGAACTCCCGGTTGATCAAAACTCTTGGAAAATCAAAGTAGAGTGGTGCCCAGTACCGCTCGGCCTGATTCTCCTCGTGTCACAGATGGCATGACTGCTCGGAGAAGGTCTCCCTCGGAGAGCCTCGGAGCAAATATTATGTGGAGACCACACTGAGGACGTCTGGATCCTGGAGACTATTCGTCACTTTCGAAGGGAGGGCTTGGCATCAGACTTTCATTTCCCTTTGATTGCAGAGTGAATTGGTCCTGTCGAAGGGATTTATACCCGAGGAGCACCACGTCATAACCGAGGACAAGTACATTTTAGGGGTATTTCGCGTCAGATGCCGCCAGAATTGTTGTCCTGAAAAGGTATACCGAGGCAGGTCCATCTCGAATTGACCAGGGTCTCTAGACTGTCATTATTGATCTTGCATCTTGCTGATGGGCGAATTGAACATGAGACGTCTCGAAAACCGAGAAATTCCAGGTAGTCTACATTTCGACCCCCCTCTTTTTGGACAGCGACGCTTTCGTCGCCGACTTCGCGAACAATTCCCTCGGTGAGCGCCCTCTGTCAGAATATCATTCGAAGATTCCTCCGGTGAATCTTACGCGATAAGTGAGTGGTTTCAGCGTTCCTCCTCGCGGACAATGGTTTCGATGTATGGATCGGAAACATACGGGGGACTAAATACAGTCGAGCCATGGTCGGGAAACCGGATCCCTCTGCATCAGACACGTCGTTTTTCGACTACACCTTCATCGATGCTGGCTTGAAAGACATACCAGCAGGTGATCTCTCCTCACGTCAGAATCCATACACCATCTCATAAGGGCCTACGCAGACCGCCGCGAGAACTGACAGCATTCAAAATTTCCCGTCTAGGTATCGAATACGCCTTGGCTAAGACCGGACGATTGCGTCTATTCTACGTCGGGCACTCCCAAGCGACCGCTGGACTTTTCGCGTTGCTCTCATATCGTCCCGAGTTCAACGAGAAAATCATTGCGATGGCTGCTCTGTGTCCCTTCAGGTGAACTATGCTTCCGAACGAAGACGAACGATAGAGACAAAATAGTGTTGTGGTTCGAAACAGCGTCAGAATTCCATGAAAAATTTTCTGGGCTCTCATTCGAAGAAAACTCTCCTGCAGGCGGATATCCTGCAACGTAGGTCAGGATATGCAGTTCGGCACCCTGGCCAATATCGCTCACTTCTACCGATCTCTCAATGTAAGAGCCGGAGCTTCGCTGGATACGATGGATCCTTGTTCATCATTCACGATCGATAAATTGCGATGGTTACAGGCCCTGCGATCTGTATTCGGGGAATTTCCCCCCAAGACCGGACTCCATCAAAATTTACTGTGCAAAATTTCGAATTCGCTCTGTGCGTTTGCTTTGCATTTCGGTCTCGGCACCGCGCCGAACCTCAATCAGGTCAGGGCTCCAAGTGGAAAAAACCCAAATCATATGGTCTCGTTTTTCTGAATACTGTGCTATTTGACTTTCCCTCCTTCTTCCAGAGCCGTCTGGACGTTTACGTGACGTTCATGCCCGCTCCGACGTCGCTGAAGAATTTAGTTTTCTTTGGACAGGTACGCCGACCATATATGTAAGAAAATACTCGGATAACTTGGAGGCGCATTTTTAGTTCCCGCTTCTCGGAACTGTCGGGAGCCCATTCAGTCATCGGGTCATAAAACAGAGCACAGATCACGGCTTCTGAATTTCGACCAATCCATAGATGTCGAGTAGGAGCTGCAACAACACCGACGAAGTCTACGATTTTGACTACGATGACCTCACACGGGGCTGGGGAAGTCTATCGTCATTGTTCAATAAGGAAGAATCGAACATGCTTGCCTACGGCTCGAGTGAACCGCGACGGTTCCTCGCGAAGGACATTCGAATACCCGTTCGGCTGTACTATGGAGACGATGACGGTTACGCTACAACAATGGTGGGATAACGAGGAATCCATTCCTTTTCTCGACTCTCCCCTCGAGGCTAACTCCGACCGACGATTGATGGATACCGCCTTGTTTCCAGGAAGCAGAGCGGCTCTCGAGAGAACTTCCAGATTATCGGGGCTCCTTCAATCTGGGCCCAAATTTTGGACATTGGGACCTCATTATGCCCACTTACAACGCAAGTCATGTCCACGATGCTATGCATTTTCTCGACAATTTCGTGGCGAAAACATGCAGACTCTGAAGTGACTCTGAAGTCGCGACATCGATCCAGGGATTTTCAATTCCATACTCAGCTCCCGCACTTGTTGGAATCCACCAAGCACGTCACAAACAGACGATCAAAGGTCATGGTCTCAAATAAAAGCGTATCTGTATTGATTCAACGAGTCGTTCCCGTCGACGAGAGCTAGTGTCGAGTGACTGCAACCTTAGCGGACGTCGAACTCTAGATTTCTCTGTTCGGGGAAGAGTCTTCGTCACCGGTTGGCGCTGATTGGTGATCCCTTGATTGCCGCATTTGAGATCCGTCTGAGGGGCGAAGCACATCAACAAGGCTTTCATCGTGGTATGATAGCTCTGGCGATCGATGACGCACGGCAGTCCGTCAACGATACGGTTGAGCTAGGCTGTTTTTCCTTCCCCCTCGAGGCTGTACCCGCAGACAGCCCATTCAGCGCTATCTACAGAAAAATTACCCCATCTGATGTTGTGCCTTCAGATGATGGGCAGTCTCGCTCCGAAAGTCTGGATCACACGCCGGTCAGCGGATAGCGCATGCGACGTTTGCTTTGAAATGTCCACAAGTAGACTGGACTGTTCGGAAACCGTGCTCATGAGAGCGACGGAACTTCCGCGAGCGACGTTGAGCTTAGAAATAAACCTGTTTCCCGCATCTAAGGCAAAATCGGTTAAACGAAGCCCTATCCTCTAAACAACTGACCTAGGCGGCGGGTCGCCTCGGATCTCTCCGCATCCTGAGGCTGTCCTAAGTAAGATAACTGAGCTCGTGCTGTGGACGCGACCCCTCGAATCATCGTATTCGATTGCGATCTCGACGCGCTCGGGATCCCGAGATTGCATGGGGACCTTGTTGTGGATGTCATGACAGAAGTCAAACGGTCAAAAGTCGTGATAATCACGGTTGGGATCACCGCACTATATCTACCGGCTGCGAGGCAAAGATCATGGGCATCAGCGTCTCCATGCGCCGGTACACGGATTTCTATCTGTGAACGTCATTCCCCTACCACGAGGATGTGTTCCCCTACGGAGTATCATGCGCCGATCAAACAGGATCGGTCGTCTGATCGTCCACTCGAAGGAATGTCCTTCTTTTAGAAGTCGGAATCGGACCGACTCCAAAAGAGAGCAGCGCATATGATCGCTTGTTTTGACAACACAGGCACACGCCGCAGCCGCCAACTTCAGAGCTCGACGAGCGAAAGAGTTTGTTGCCAGCAGCAGGCCGGCGAGCCGTGAAGCGACCGGAACAGTCAGCCGTCCTACGTACAGAGAGCTGCTTTTCGCAAGTCCAATACTATGGGTACCGCCAACGGGCATACGACCAGCCCGTTGGAGCTCAAGCGCCATTTCTGGTGGAGCCGAATGAACTCCGATAAACAAGAGGCTGTGCTGAAGCTGGTCATTTTGTCCATAGCGTGCATCCTATCGTTTTCGTGCCGATTGTTTAGTGTGCTCCGCTTCGAAAGTGTCATCCACGAATTCGATCCGTACTTCAACTACCGCACAACACAGTTTCTTTCCGACAACGGGTTCTATGCCTTCCACAACTGGTTCGACGATCGCGCCTGGTACCCGTTGGGCCGGATCATCGGTGGGACGATCTATCCCGGATTGATGGTGACTTCGGCGGCGATCTATCATGTCGCCAACGCGCTCAACATCACCATTGACGTGCGAAACGTCTGCGTGTTCCTCGCGCCGGCTTTCTCATCGCTGACAACGATCGTGACGTATCTACTCACTCGCGAACTCTCTAACACGAGCAGCGGGCTGGTTGCCGCTGCAATGATATCGATCGTGCCGGGATACATCTCGCGGTCTGTAGCCGGGTCCTACGATAACGAGGGTATCGCTATCTTCTGCATGCTGCTCACATATTATCTCTGGGTAAAAGCTGTCAAGACGGGTTCGGTGCTGACAGCTGCCACCTGTGCCATCGCGTATTTCTACATGGTATCGTCGTGGGGTGGATACGTTTTCCTCATCAATCTTATCCCTCTGCACGTGTTGACGCTGATGGCCACCGGAAGATTCAGCCACCGCATTTATACGGCTTACTCGATCGTCTATTGTCTGGGCACGCTGCTCTCGATGCAGATCCCGTTCGTGGGATTCCAACCGGTCCAATCGTCTGAGCATATGGCCGCCCTCGGTGTATTCGGGCTTTGCCAACTGTACGCTTTCCATGAATATCTTCACTCGAAACTGAGCAAAGAGCAATTCGAAATCCTTTTCCGAGCCGTTATGGTCCTCGCCGCGGCTACCGCGGGGACCGGCATCATCATAGCGACAGCGTTTGGAAAAATTGCACCTTGGACGGGACGTTTCTACTCGTTGCTGGATCCATCATATGCGAAGAATAACATTCCCATCATCGCATCGGTCTCCGAACATCAACCGACAGCGTGGTCGTCGTTCTACTTCGATCTACAGCTGCTCTGCTTCCTGTTCCCAGTGGGAATGTACTTCTGTTTCAAGAAACTCACCGACGCCAATATTTTCATAATCCTCTACGGGGTCACTTCGATATATTTCGCTGGTGTCATGGTCCGTCTAATGCTCGTCTTGGCTCCGGTCATGTGCATACTCGGCGGGATTGGGATGTCGAACATGTTGGTGATCTACATCAAAATGATGTGCAACAAAGGAGAAAAGAAACCCAAGAAACGTGAGCGATTTATACTTCGATAACAGCATGTAATACATCAATGCTCCTCATGCTGCGAAGTGGAGGGAAAATCTCAATCTATTCCTCTTCCAGACGATGCCAGCAACGGACTGCCGAAGGAGAAAATCGGTCAGGCCTTCGTCGTGATAATGATCATATTCATGGTTTTCTACGCCCTCCATTGTACATGGGTCACCTCGGAGGCGTACTCTAGTCCTTCGATCGTCTTGTCCGCTCGTGCACACGACGGCTCAAGAATCATCTTCGACGATTTCCGAGAGGCCTATTACTGGTTGCGTCAAAACACACCTGAAGACTCGAAAGTCATGTCGTGGTGGGACTACGGTTATCAGATAACGGCGATGGCGAACCGGACGATTCTAGTGGATAATAACACATGGAACAACACTCACATATCCAGAGTTGGTCAAGCGATGGCATCGGACGAGCACACGGCGTACGAGATCATGCGCGAAATGGACGTTGATTACGTTCTCGTGATTTTCGGTGGGCTGTCCGGCTATAGCTCTGACGACATAAACAAATTTCTCTGGATGGTCCGTATCGGAGGCTCTACCGAAAAAGGCAAACACATCAAGGAACATGATTACTACACGCCGTCCGGCGAGTTCCGCGTCGACAAAGAAGGATCGCCAACTCTTCTCAACTGCCTCATGTACAAGCTGTGCTATTATCGTTTCGGAGATGTATACACGGAAGGCGACAAGCCGGCCGGTTACGACCGGGTCAGGAACGCCGAAATCGGCAACAAACAATTCAAGCTCGATGTTCTGGAGGAAGCTTACACCACGGAGCACTGGCTTGTGCGGATTTACAAAGTCAAAGACCCACCTAATCGCGGCGTGCGATAATCACGTGATTGTCCATAGTTCTGAACAAATGTAAAAAAAATACAAAGTATGAGACTTTTGTGTGACGCCCTCCCGGCGAGAAAGACGTCGCGGATCTCAAGATGGTCTATATATCGATTATTATTTATGCTTAGATAATGAACTCGATGTTCAATAAACTTCCAAAGACGACGAGTATGATCAATGTTCGAACATGAGCACTGGAGGAGACGTGCTAGCCAATTTTCGGAGCTAAATCGTTGGCTCCGTCGCAATCTTGGACCCATCGGGCGGGAAACAGCGCGGAAGGAAAGTTTTTTCCCCTTTTCGCTGCGCTCAGCGGGGGGCGTGGATATATCCGGCGTCGCCGAAGTCGCCAGCTTCTTGGCGTCTTGCGTTCCCAAGCCGCCGCGCGACGAAAAATCCTCCGGCCAACTAACTGCGACCGCGGACGAAACCATTTTCGTTAATTGTGCTGCAGACGCATGGATCGTTGTTGGGGGGGGGGGAATTCACGGTGGGAGAGAAAGGAGCGGCGCTGGAGCTTCAAGACGAGCTGATCGTGTGAGGACAGACTTCCCTCAATCTGCTACCAGGAAAAGAATGGTCAAAGGCGCTGTAGCTCGCGCTGAATCTCGAACATCCGCAGTGAAGGTTGAACATAATCAAAGCTATTCTGTACGAAGACCAAGCCTCGTTAAAGCTGGGGAAAGCCCTGTATGGCCTCGAAGCGCTCCAGGAGAACACGCTTATAGGTTTTTGTGCGACTTGGGAAACTAACGCAAAGCATTGCCACGCAGCTCAGGCCGTCTGTAGGCCACCCTTGACCTCGGAGAGACCCTTGAAGTTCGCTTTTCACCTTTATAATCGGACCAATGCCCCTCGAAATCGCAAAGAGTTCTCTGCCTCCGGACTGCCGTCTAGGGTCTAGGGCGTTTAGGGAAAGCGGAATAAGATACATTTACCTAGAGACATAGAACATCGTTCAGAAGCTTTTGGACCAATCGAGGGAGCATACCATCTGATCAGAACCTTCGCGCCCATCAGAGTATACACATGCACGCAGTGATGGATCCAGGGATGGCTCGAGGGAAAGCGGTTTTGATCTCTCAACTTGCCCGGAAATTATTTCCTGTGGAACTCGCGGAAGGACGCGAAATCAAGGTATATCAGATTCATATATATATTCAGATTCAAAGAGTGGATCTTCGTTTTAGGGTTTATTCAACACAGGGATATTTATGCAGTGAAGGTGAGACAGTGAAAACTTCCGGGGGATTCACAATATGAATCGTATGACAATCGTATGAACGCGCATCTTGGAGTTGGCACTGTACTGAACGCAATCCGGCGTCGTCACTGGATTCTACGAGGAGGAAAAGCGATTAAAAAATCATTGCGGGGTTGCGTCGTCTGTAGAAAATCGCATGGACCAACCGCCGATCAGGTCCAAAACCCTTTCACCTCTCCACCTGCACAAGCGTGCGAACAATTCATCTGAAGTTCTTGCCCGACATGTCAACCACTCAAACGCATCTCTCACTGCGCTGATTCCAGGCCTATTATCCTTCATGCAGGCTGTTCATATCGCATCATGGCGGCTCACGAGCTGCCGCCGATATCCGTCGTCCCTTCAAGTCATTTCGCGACCCGCAAGTGCGAGAGCTACTCAGTAAACATCGTATGGATTGGTCTTTCAATTGACCTCGTGCAAGTCGGCGAGGGGGATTATCCGAACGACACGTTGGTGTGATCAAGAATGTTCTGAGGAAGACATTGGGTCGGAGCCTCGTTTCGGTGGAAGGATTCAGCACTATCCTCTGCGAGCTGACAGCGATTATCAATGATCGACCTCTGTCCTACGTCTCGCCTGATTCAGATGAGCCACGCGCTATCACTCCTGCAATGTTCCTGCGTGGTGGGCCCTCGGCATCGCCGCTTTGCGGTTCGACAATCCTCGACTGCTTGAACCTAATGGCAAAGTTCCGGCTTGGCCGCTTGAATCGGGGGCTCTACGGTGCAAGCTCTTGGATAGAACAACCTCGCGCTCTGCATTTTAGATATCGCGCCCGGACAGCATCGCAGGCCTCATCACTGATCACGTAGAGAGGGTCGGAGGCGAGGGATACTCTGTCGAAGGGTCGACTTTCCAAATGAGCTGCCTTCTATCGAAGTCACCGAAAAGAACGCAGTGTTGAGCGAGGAATGTTTCCAATCCGTGGAGGGTCGATACTCAACCACCTGTCCTGAGGTCCCGGCTCTACTACCCGTGACAGCTGCCATTCCAGGCTCGACGCCGTCCGACGTCTTGTAAACAAGTGAGTTTATCCGCGTCCTGGAGGACTCTGGATGAGCTTTTGCAATCGAATTAAAAAGCCATCATACACGTAATGAACATCAGGACAAAATCGAAGTTCTCCTAACAGCGTTTTCTGGGTTATCATTGGGCCGGATCGTGGATGGGCTCCTAACCGGAAGGAGTCCGGAATACGAGTGGGATTAAGTCGCCGGCAATATACGTTGAACGTATCGTCGTCCTCTCATTCCACTCGTTTTACGTAGTTGAGGAAAAAGGGAAGCTCCGGCACCTGGAATATTAATCAGAGATCTCGGACGGAACGAACTGTCAAACTCGTATCAACAGAACCGATCGCGGAATGGAATGTTGATCGGAGCAAACGCTGCTGGAGCCCTCATCGAGTGGAGAGAGTCGCTACCCTTCACCCCGGCTACACGATGCTACATCAGCTGAGCAGTCGACTCTTGGCGGAAGCTTGTTTCTCCCTCGTCTCAATATATGACAGCCAGAGTGAGAGTTCCTAGGTTTCCGACTCAGTGAGTTCATTCGAGTGATCGGAGATTAGCGGGCGCCGTAAGCGGATAGTACCCTCTCCTAGATCTCCATTTGTGTACTCTTTCGGGCTGACAGTTCTTATCTCTCTCATGATACGTCGTCGAAACAGGTTGATGACACACATCACATGTGCTCAGACTTCCCTCAGCCATTCAACAAGCGAGCCAATGCGATTCGAGACGAGAGTCTTCCTGTCTGACGCTCGATGGAATTTCTCCCTGGAGGAGTCCACCGATTTCATAATTATTTACGAGATCGATTATTTCGCCAACGGAATTCCGCCTGGCGAAAACTCAGTCCTAGCCTTCGTGTTTCAGGTTTCAGCTGACCTCGAGCGGCCATTGTTCGCGGCTCGTCACCGATTACGTCAGATCTCTTCGATTCCGTTGTAGAAGGGTTGACACTTGGAGCACATGGCGATTAAAAGCAAGATTCGAGATAACCTATCAGTTTTAGAATCGGCTCGGCTCCGCATTTAGTCGAATAACCTCCAGGCCGATTGCGTGAGCGGAAAGTTCGTCCGGGAACTGTGCAAAAGTGATTCTGCGATGCAAGGTTTCGTTGGGATAGAAGGAGGCGCCTCGGTGTCGAAATCGGTTCTGGTCAAAGACGACGGCTCAATATTGGCTGAGACCGACGGCCCATCTTTGAACCACCTACTCGATGGAATCGATGTTGTCTTTGAACGAATCAAAGATCATCTCCGAGAGCTTCGGAAGAAGTCCTCGACCGTTGAGGAGACCTTCAAAATTATTTCCATCGGCTTGTGCTTGAGTGGATGTGAAGACGAGACGGCGAATCGGAAACTTGAAGAGGAGTTCCTGAGAAGGGATCCGACTCTGTTCGGTGAGTGCTCAAGCTCCTAAGCGGATGAACTTTTCAGACGCTGCGAGGTTCCTAATTGATCCTCGGGCTGTGGGTCTCGAGGCCTTACGGCTATTGAGTAGCTCCGAGCGAGGAATTCTCGACCGGGAGCAACATCGGAAACTTACAGTCACTAAAACACCGCGAAGCGGAACTCCTTGTCTCGACGGAACGGGTCTATGAATCGATAAATTATGACTGAGTCGAATCAGAATTCCGATGGTGATCCTACCCCAAGGAGAAACGGAGACAATTCTTCCCGCCTCCCGATGCACTATCAAGTCATTATTTCGAACCGTTCGCAGGAAATGTCAAAGTCGCAAGCGATGTTGTGGGCTCTATTCGAACGGTGACTCCTGACGGAGGACTGGTTTTAATATCCGGAACCGGCTCCAATTGCTTCCTCTTGAACCCCGACGGCACTTCAGCTCGCTGCGGAGGCTGGGGACATCTCGTTGGCGACGAAGGCTCTGGATTCATTTGCTCAAAGAGAGCCATCAAAATCGTGCTAGATAATGAGGACAACTTCGGAACGAGTATTCATGATGACAGAGAACTTCGCAGAATCATCTTCGAACACTTCGACGTAGACAACACACTGAAACTGCTGCCATACTTGTACTCGAATTTCAAAAAGTCTTTCATTGCTCAATTAGCCCAGAAAATCTCACAAGGAGCCCGATGTGGGGACGCACTCTGTAAGCTGCTCTTCAAAGATCTAGGAATCGATTTAGCGAAACACGTGAGGGCTGTGAGCAGTGCGATCTCGAAAGATTTCTACGGAATGCCTGGGGGTCTCCCCATCGTTTGCGTTGGGTCTCTCTTTCTCTCTTGGGACTTGATGAAAGAGGGATTCGTTGAAACTCTGGGGAGTGATGTTCCAGAATACACCTGCGTAAGACCGACCGTCAGCGCCGCGATCGGCGCAGCATATCATGCGTCGTCCGTGGCCGGCTCGAAGATCCCTGTGAATTTCTCTGAGAACTTCGAGATTCTTCATCATTATTCTGCGGCGAGCTCTAACGGAGAGACTTGAGCTCACCGACCCCACCACCGATTTGACTGTATCCGCCGAAATGACGAATAAATTAGGGTTTTCACATCGGATACGCACCCAGGAAACTTCTTTGTCTTCGACTTCGATGAGTGTGAGAACATTGGGGAGCAAAGACTCTGTCTTCTCGAACAGAATAACATATATTAATTCAGCGCTGAATAAAATCCAAGACAGGAGAAATTTTCTTCGATATGTCACGTCAATCCGTCTCATCCGTAGGCCAATGGCGTATACGCGACGCGTCTCCTTTCTTAAAGTACCAGGGGAGGAACTACAGCACGGTTCGTTGCGCTTCATTTCGGCTCGGCAGGTTCGTCTTGAGTCTGGAACGATCCGATACGCGTGCAGGGATCCTCTCGATCAATGAAATCCCCTATGAGGCATATGTATACCTCATCTGATATGGAATAGTCAGCCACTAGATGATTTGAGTTTAGATCGGCTCACGCTTACTCTCTCATGAATTCATGACTCCTCGGCGAAAGCTTCATCGAGCTTTTAGTTGGGGAGTACAAGGCGCTTTGGGGATATAAGCGTGGAGAGCGATGACAGATGTGGTCTCCGGCCATCGCATTACTTCTCGGTTCCCTGAATCAAAACAGAAGAATTGGAGGAAATTTAGTTTGCGCAAACGATTCGCTATGATAGGACTCGAGAAATGGGGATTCAGGAGCAAACGTTAAATTGACCGTCTACCGCGCTGATTTCCAATATCTGGTGTATGGCGATTCAGGAGTGACGCTGATGTAGGAGTCAAACGGGTGGAGATAGAATATGATACTCTCCAACCTCTGGGACATATAGATAGCTAGAACTCCCGTGATCAACGTTATGAGTACGGATACCGCCGACAGGAAGAGAACTGATGTCCACGCTGGAAACAAAAGCGTCGAAAGTTCGGGTGACGTTCTCTTTCGTCATGAATGTCCTGAATGGGGGAGCTCTCTAATTTCACGTGTGATCTAGGGTGTGGCACTCACCGATGTCTGTGTCTTTCTCAAGATCTATGGCCAGCTGATTCATAAGATGATCCGATCCCCGGAAATGAACCACCAAGGCAGAAATTATCAGCAGGAATAGGAAGTTGGCGAAGGCAGAGCCCAGAAGCATACACAATCGCACCCGAATAAGGGTGATAGCGTCTTTCAAGAAGCAGTACGTCATGAAATAACTCAGGAACATGGCAGCGTACTGGAAGTAAGCACTCTCAAATAAAATGGGAATCTATTTCTGCTTGAAGAATCTGGAAATCGCTCGCAAGCATACAGAGCACATCTTCCTCACCAATGCGCCGAGAGAAAGTGTCATGATGAAACGAAGCCGGTCTCCTGGCGTGTTTTCATACATTCGTGTAGCTTCAAAGAAAGTTCCGGTCGCGCTCAGGAAGTTCATGAGAATCGCTGTATCCATGAAACACAAGCAATACTTTGCCCAGCCCAGAATCTGGGGAAAAAGAAGTTCAATTGAGTGTGACGGAAGCGGCTCACCACGTCCTTGTAAACGATGGTTTACGCTAAGATGACAGGCTGGCTTCGGTAACGAATCTCAACGGAGCGGCTGATTACCTCACGCTCATCTGCATTGAAATTTCGCACACTGCATAGGGATCTCACTGGGAAAACCGTCATCGTGGCTCAGCGTGTGAGTGTCAAGTTCGAGACCTTTCAAATACAAAAACAGGACGGCAGCGAGTGGACGCACGCAGAAGAACAAAGACACGTGCATTTGCGGATGTCGACTATCGGATGTGCCACTCTCGGGATACACTCCTGCCGAGAACCACAGCGAATAAGATACGATCCGATTTCGAGGAAATCTTGCGACCCAGAACTAATTGGATCGCATAGATCTGACCTCGATCCTAAAAAGTGTTGAGAGTACACAGCCAGGGCTGCCTCTCCGGAAATCGATGGCTATCATCGAGATGATGCTGGCAGTTCCGAGCGAGTCCGGATCCCCTTCCACACCCATTATCTTATGAATCCCTGTCATAAGTCCGCCAGGAAAACTGGCAGAATAGCAAGATAGACTCGAGTCGGTGAATGAAGGGAAATTCGTGCAGTGAGCCTTTCGTGTCAAAGCCTTATCTTTATTTTTTAATGTAAACGTGTCAGAAGGAAGGGATATGGAAAACCCAGTCCCCAAATCCTCCCTCAGATCTCTGGCTCGATCCGGAATTCCGCTTGTCTCTCCCTTTGGAGAACGATTGAGCAGTGCGCGAATATTCAAGACGGCGGGAACGAAGTTGTGTCCTCCTCAAGTTTCAGGCAATGGTTCTTCGCGTGATTTCGGGAACAACTTCGAGTCTGAAGGGGTTATGTTCTTCAGCGATAATATATGCCTCGTGGAGCTTCGAACCGCTCCGGGCCTTCGGGGCTCCTGCCGAACCTGTATCCCTGAACACGTTTCAGCCTGAAACCGTGGATCCACAAATTTTTCTCCCCTTGAAATCATTTGCGAATGGTTGATCAATAAGCGATAGACGAAACCACGAGAACTTCCATGCTCACTCTTCTTCCAGGCTTTCATTCGCTCGAATAATCCCATCGGTTCTCCGCGTCCACAAGAACGGCGGCGGAGGTGGGGGAGGTGGTGGTGGGACAAAGGTCGGATGAAGCACACTTCTCCGTCTCGGATACCTGATTTAGGATAAGCAAGCATCATGGACTGTGAAATCGGATCCTGATGAAGCCCCATGAACCACCAGCGCTCAACATACAATTGGTTCCGATAGGGAATGGCAGGATCCTCATCGCTGGAAACGGCGTTTTGCGGTCGCTCGGATCTTCTCGAGTTGCGTCGAGTCGGCGCTATATCTGAACAGACCGAGGACGTTCTCCTATTCAAGTTCTTCTTGCGGAACACGTTTCGATCGTCGGGGTCAGCGTCTTCCTTGTCTTCAAGGATCTTAGTCTCAATGAAGAAATCCTCCCGTCTCATACCGTCCTTCTCGTTCGCCGTTCCGTTGACGAGGACCTCGGTTGCATTCTCGGCGTTCGCTTCCTTTTTTCCTTTTGCGTCTTCTGCATCGGAAATGGCGCCGCCCTCCAACACATTAATTAGACAGTACGTAGCCAAACCGATCACCAACAAGAGGGTGACGTACACAGTGAGGTAGAAGAAGACAGCGAAAGCTGAAACCCGGCTATCGTTAGTTTATCCAGTGTCCCCGGAGATCGCAATAAAGAGACTGGTCCTCTCGTTTAGCCCCAGACTCACCCTGCAGCGGAGCTCCTTCCTCTCGGAAGGTGAGGATCCTTGTCAATTCCGGGCTTCGATTTCCATCCAGGATCAGGCACAGCGCCATGAAGTTCCCGACGACTGCGGCGGCAATCGTGAGCATCGCTTTGTTATGCTTCAAAGAGGAATGAGCGGATGCATGAGTCCCAGATTCTCTTGAGGGGGAGTCGCAATGCTTCTCCATCTATGTGATCTCTCACCTCTTCGACAACATCTGCCGGATCGAGCTGGACTCCGAAGTGTCCCACAATGACGAGACTGACGACGAAATTCTTCGGGGCGAACAACAGATTAGTCACATTGGCTGTCCCTGAGGAGTGTTCGCACTGATGGGTGATCGCGAAATTATTCTCAGAAAGCGGCGACCCAGTATTGGGAGCCCCGCGAGAGAACCGTCGGAGGAAAGGAACGTCAACGTACCATGCCCCCGGTGATTGCAGCAATCCATGTCTCGCTCCCGCTCGTTTTCTTCTGGAGCAATAAGAGGGTCAGAATTCCTTGAATGATTCCGATCAGCCCTTGTTGCCTGAAGATGAATAGCCGCAACTTCGTGCCATTCTTGAGCTGCATCTTGCTCAATTAGGAGCGACTTTGGCTGGAAGAAAATACTCGACACAATTAAACAAGTCGACACGTCCCACTCGTCAACACTAAGGGTGGAGCCTTATACGAGCGCCCTTCGCGATGTGCGGACTTAAGCGTCGATGTGCCGACGACGCTGACGTTTTCCGATCTTGAGTTCGGGCATTCTGGCGTCATGATAGCAGTTTTCTCTCGTTTTCGAAAATGGCCCTCTACTGTCCGCTATCTCCTCCGCGGTATGCCGACCCCTCGGTTGGGATCTTCCACCTAGTTACTCAAACGCGAGCGTTGAGCGGTTGAGATTAGCTCGGATCTATGGAGACTTCAGCAGGAGGCCGACTCGGGCGCCTCGTTATGAGAAGCTCACCATGGGGTTTCGCGCGAAGGGTGCCCCGGAGGAGATACCATGGGTTTCGTTGGAGGTAGGATCATCATCGATACGAGTATGGGTTCCTCTAAAGCTGGGGCTACCCTAGGAATCTGCTGCGACGCCGTCTTCGAACCCCAAGCAAGCGGCTCTCCCGCACGAGACAGCGTCGGCGTCGCTTCACGAATTGAAGTTGTCAAAGCGGATCTACAAACCTATAATGTGATTTGCCTACCGCTTTGGCGATTGGGCTATCCGATGTTATCGTCAATCTTGTACGGTCCGCGCGTGAAAATTACAGGCGTAGCACTTCACCTCAACCCGCGACTTATGTCAGATTCGATTCTTGTTATTCAGGTGCTGTCAATCTCGGACCTTCTACGTTTCGAGAATTCCTATCGAGCTTCTAGAGGCATCCCTCCCTAAGGTCTCAACTCTCTCCCTGCGATTTCGGGTTCCGAGTTTCGATGACAGAGATGTGTGTGGGCCGCATGGTTCCAAGTCCGCTCAAAAAACCTACTCCGTATTGACGAAGTAGTTTCGAGCATTGCGGGGTCTTCCCCGCTAATGCTCTTAGAGGAGGTGCATGCAGGAAAAAGCGGTTTGGTGGCATAAGGCCTCTGAGTTCAAGGAAAGCGCAACTCGCGCTCAGGGAGCTCATGAGAATCCCCGCATTCATAGAACAAGAGGGATACTTCGCCCACATGAAAGAAAATAGGAAGCTCGAGTAAATGTGACGAAATTGACCGACCACGTCATCAGAACCTAGGATTTACGCTGCGATCACTGGCTCGTTTCGAATTACGAATCTTGAAGGAGCGGCTGATGACCTCACGTTCGTCCAAATTGTTCCGCAAGACTCACAGGAATCTCGCTCGGAAACCGTCATCGAGGAGCGCCTCCGGCTCGTGAGACTCTACCATAGGCTTTTACGTTGGTCCAGAGATTCACCCGAGGTTTCATTCATGATCCATCTAATCACGAGATGAAGGAAAAATGAAAAAAACACTAAAGAAAATGAGATCAAGGCCGCAGATTCACCTTTCCGAAGAATGATCATTTACTGTCCGGAATTCGGAAAAATCTTGTGAGGCGGAGGAGCGATCTTCACTGTCAGTTCGGACCCAGAACCCAAAGAAAAAATCGAGTGTTCGTCGATCTAGGAACATCCATGCGCCCGAGGCTTCCGGGTCGAAGCGTTCCGTTTATTGCTTAACGTAAATGTTTCACAAGGGAGAGATGTATGAGAAATCCAGTCCTCAGATCGTTCGTCAGTCTATTATCCTGATTCAAAGGTCCGTTTGTTTTCCGGTTTCGGAAAAGAATGATGCTCCAAAGATCGAGAACAATAGTAATGCCCTCCTAATTTTTTCACGCGATGGCGATTTACATGATCTCGGGTCTGAGTGTACACGGGTCGAGTTCTCTAGCGATGCAATATGCCCCGCTGAGCAACACACTGATTCGGGTCGTCATGACTGCGCATAAGTTCGGGAGCCCTTGCGGACCTGTTCCCCTGAACCCGTCTCAACCTGAAAACGTAGATTGCCAAGGTGAGCCTCTCTCGACTTCTCTCGAAGGCTAGGATCGACTCCTGCCGAACGCGACGATGGAAACACCGAATCAACAACGACGTGTATCCTCACTCTTCTCCGAAGCTTTCGTTCGCCCGAATTATCTGATTAGTTTTCCGTGTCCACTGAGAAGCCCAGAATGCTGGCGGCGGGGGTGGGGAGGGGGCGGAGGTGCAACGGGATAAATGCTGTCCCGTCTCCGGTGCCTGATTTGGAGGAGCAAGTATTACGGACTGATTCGCCGGAATTCTATTGAGCCCCACAGATCCCCGTGCCAGATCACTAGGCTTCAACATACGTCGGGTTCCGATGAGGAATGGCAAAATCGTCGTCGCTGGAAGCAGCTTGGTGCGGTCGCTCGGATCTGCTCGAGTTTCGCCGAACCGGCACTACGCGCGAGCAGAGCGAAGAAGGCTTTCTGTTGAAGTGCCTTGGACCATGTGCTCCACGATCATTGGAGCAGACTCTGTTTCTGTCTTCATCGCTTCTAGGCGCCACGAAATAGGCTTCTTTCCGCATACCATTCGCCTCGTTGACCGGTTCATCTACGAGGACCTCGGGTGGGTTCCTGTGGTTTGCTCGCTCCTTCTTGTTCTTGTTCTTCTCCTTTGCTTTCTCCGGGTCGGCAGTAGCATCCCCAGTCATTAGATATATCAAACAGTAGGTGACTAAACTGATAACCAACAGAACGGTGACGTATACGGTGAGGTGGAAGAAAACCGCAAAGGCTGAAAACCAGGACGGCTACTCTTAGTCATTTCAGGCGCTCCAATCAGACGCGGGGTGGAATGAGCATATTGTACGTCGGCGTTGAGGAGCACGAGACTCACCTTGAAGAGAAATCCCTTCCTCCTGGAAAGTGAGCATCCTCGACAATTCCGGACCTCTATTTCGATTCAAGATCAAACCCAGCGCCATCAAGTTTCCGAGAACTGCGGCCGCTATCATCAGCACCGCTTTGTCTTGCTTCACGGAGGAAAATAGTGAAGGATTAGTCTCGCTCTCCTCTGGGCACGAGCAGCAATCATTCGCGGTGTTTGAGACTCTCACCCCTTCGTCAACGTTCTCCGGATAGAGGTCTACTCCGAAATGCCCCACAATTACCAGACTGAGGACGAAATTCTGCGAAAAGATCGAATGGTAGTCTCACGTTGGTTGTTCGCTTAGGCTTGGTACCTTCGTAGATAATCGCGGATCGTGGCCCTTGAAACAGGGAGCTCCTACATAGACCATCGCCGAATATTATACGGAGCTTAAGGACGTAAACCTACCATTCCGCCGGTGATACCAGCAATCCAAGCGTCGCTCGGATTTGATCTTTTCTCAAGCAGGAACAGAGTCGAGATCCCCTGAGCTATTCCGATCAGTCCTTGTTGCATGAAAATATAGCGTCGCAACTTGGTGCCATGCTTGAGCTGCATTGCGCTCAATGGGGAGCAACACCGGGTGATGAAAACACTCGACACAGCGGAACAAGTCGACTCGTCCCTCTCGCCAAAACTTAAGGTGAAGCCATGTTCAAAAGCCGTCCGCAATGTGCGAACTCAGTGTCGATGTGCGGCCGACGTTTCCACGTCTTTGAAATTAGCTCCTCTACCACCATACGGAGAGCGCTCTCTTGATTTCAATCATTGAGCTCGTACATCATTGAATGTGCTGTGGGCTGTGGGATATGTTCCCTCGCCCACGGGAATACATCCTTGGGTCTCGATCCTTACGCGTGGGGTTCTCTTTCGATTCGGAATTCGATGAACAGAAGGACTTCTGGCTTCATGACTCATTCCAGGAAGAAGTTTATGAATGGAATCCATTGTTGATGAGTGACGAGTCCTTCGCGATCCGGGTTCAAGTCTCGACACCTTCACGAGGCCTGCTCCTCTTTTCTTCGATAGTCTTCTATGCACGAGGTTGAAGACTTCGCGGTCCGATTTGGCTATTTCCACTATTTCTTTCATCTCGGGACCGGGGTTCGGCGATTCCTCCATACGTTCTCCAAGGAGTAACTAATCCATCCGGCGTCTTTCCAATTGAATTCGATTCATTTGTCGAAATCACTCCTATTTGAAAGAATTCTGCCATGATGAACTCCTCCGATCGACAGTCGACCAGGTTGGAAGGAGTCAAATTCAGAAGACTTCTCAAGTTGTCTCAAGAAATGTCCTTGTGATGCCGGCGGCGCTCGAGCAGTGAACTCTACAGTGGCAGTGTGACGCATGCGCTCATAGTTCACTCACGGACCATCGCACTCTCTCACCGAGCATGGAGAGTTACCGAAGGACTCCAATAGGAGAGAACCCGGTCCAGGTGACCGTGTCCAAACGGAATCGAGGAGGAGGGCGTCCGACACCGATTCGCCCTCGGCGAGAAGAAAACGTGTCGCGCGTTCAAACGTCTGACATCGTGACTACGGAGTAGCGGGTACAAGTGTGAACTGTCAAATCAATCCGGGCAGTCGATTCTAGAAGTTCGGTCGTGAATCCCGAATGAGCGAACTCCACAACAATAGGATCGACGTACAGATTCACGATCTCTCGCTGTCAATCGAATCTCGACCCTACTGGGAGTACTCCCAATCTCGAGCGGTAAGTCGTAGAGAGGAGAGGTCAAGGCCGACGAGCGCGTCCGTGCGGAGTCGGGCTGTGGACCCGATGACCATGACGTTCCTTTGGGATTATTTACACTAGAGCAACACGATTCGAGAGTGGGTAATCGCTCGCAATGTCAACAACGGAAACTACTGTGAGCAGTGGGGATTAACGGGTACTTCCGCTGAAACAGATAAGATGGTGTCATGAGTCATGAATTTCTAGGATATAGGTTTCTCCAACACTAAACCGACCGGATACAATATCACAGCCCAGATCATTAGACTTACGAGACGAGACTGATTCGTCCAAGAGTGGCGTCACGCTGTCTCGACGTCGACCAAACTTGGTACAATCTCCAGCTAGACATACCATTGCTGATCCTGCCTGGAAATCTCTATACATTCCTGGAGGAGCTCAGTCAGCTAGGAGATGTCGTCGGCGACAGAAAAAGTGATCTCGATAGCTCGCGAGCTTCCGTAGACACTCAATTCTGAGCTTCGCACATGGATCGCTATCGATACCGTAATTATTACGTGTTCAATAAACTGCGAGCTCACCTTCCGCGGCAGCGTCCGCTATATGTTCGTCCGAATTCCGGGAATGCCGTATGGTCTCCCACAAATCATCACTCCAATCATTGAGATGTCCGGAGTCTCTGAGAGTCACTGCAGGCGAGCTCTTGCCTCCAAAGCTCGTGAAAACGGTGGAGGATGATCTCACTCATCGGGAAAAACTGGCTCCGAATAAGAATCTCCGTACGTGGGCTGTGTGTTTGATGCTTCCGGCGGTGCGGTGAACGGCGCTGGCGGTAGACCGCTCCGACAATGTTTGCTGAAGATCTACACAGAAGAAGTCTTCTTGACGGGGTTGCTGAACGCCGCATCCTACTGTTGCCAAGTCACTGTACTTATCGCCAGCTTCTCGACAGAAAAGATTCGATTATTCTGAGGTCCTAATTGCGTAACCTTGACCATGGTTTTCCGGGAAACAGGAATAACTCTGTGACGTCTCGCTCGGTATCCGATTTGCCGGATTTCACAAAAAGGTTCAACCCTTCCTCGTTCGATGCCGCCTCGAACCCTGTAAGGCACCATGCGGTCCGGCGATCCCAAGCATTCGGTAGCACTGGAGTCGAAGAACGGCTCGGAAACTTCCTCATCAAGCATCTTCAAGCAAAACTGCCATGGGCTCTGGCCATCAGAAATATGTTACTTCGACCGCCATCAGCAAGATCATGGGAGCGTGCCCGTTTGAATAATATGATGGAGCTCGAGATCTCATTCCTTGCCAGAAACCGAAGAATCGAGGAACAGATGTTCATTTCCGCATTGCAGAGGGGCCCTTCCGGAGCCTTCGGCGGCACCCCCTCCCAGTCTCTCGGTCAAGGATTCGCCGCTTGAGTGCATCGATCGACGGATCGATCGGAAGCCCCGAAATGGAAAATCTGATTGGAAAACCTGGGCTACAGCTATCCTGCCAGAAGCGGATCGTTCCTTTCGATTTCATGAATTTCTTTCCCTTCAAGAAAAAAACTCAAGGAGGTTGAACGTGTACTACACTCTTGCGGTAGCATTAATTAATTATCTGTATCGGTTTTCGGTTATTCATGGGGAAGTCTCGTATTCCGTGGACCAATTCCATTTGGAATAATGCCATGGCTTATTTTGAATGTAAGAACGGAATGCTCGAGAAATTCTCAAAACAATCCCGAGCCAAATAGCGTTGCGTTCAGGTTCTCAGGGCTTCATCTGTTATTTGTTGCCTTTTCTCGGATTCCCTACAACCGTTGCCGATGCGTACGGGTTCGGTCACAAGGCGACTTCTCGCTCCCCCCGAATTTATTCGATGCAGCGGTCTCGGATTAGCATCCATCAGAGAATACTTTGAGGAATGCTCTTAGGACGTACATATCTCCACAGAGGAGAAGCTGAATCAGCGGCCCGAGAATCAGTTCTCATTCTGAAAGAACTCTCGATCAAAATTCAATCAGTTGAGTTTGATCGATTGGCTCGAATCTTATTCGCTCCGAGCGGCGACCAGAATAGTTAACGATTTCCGAGGAGATGATTCATTTCATTAGGGATCAAGATTTTCCGTGGAAAAACTGAATCCGGAAACCCGGGCTGGCGCTCTGAGCCGTTGGAATGGGGAAATAACAACAGGAGCGAGTAGACCCATGAAGTCTCACAGTCATTGCTCCAGGATACATATACAGAATCTTAATGAGTCGGTGCCGCGGGCGGATCAAAGACTCGATAGGGAGGAGACTGCTCGATAAGGCGCTGCTGTACAGCAATTTTATTATGTCACTCTACTGAAGTAGATCGCGCTCGAGCTTCGGTGAGAACACTTCGTTTCCGCTACACTGTGGAACCTTGAATTCTGGGTCAGCTTACGTCAGTTCTTCGGATGCGGAAGACTGTGAATTTCTGGTTTCCATCGACCGAAATTCTCTGTGGCTCGCCCGCCTGTTCTCGGCGCTGCAAACGTCGCGATGTCCGTCGACGGACGATGCGGTATTCAATTAACTCGATGAGCATCTGAGTGAGCGGCGTCATCTTTCCTGATCACATGCTTTTGTAGCTAGTTATGCGTCTGAGAGACGGATGGTGTGTACGCATTCACGGCGCGCCGACTGTCATCAAGAAGAATCTCACGCGAAGGAGCGCACTCACGTCAGACCTACGGCCATGTCCGGGGATAGCCGGACCCACGAACCGCTGCCGAGAGGAGCGTCGTCGCCGATGACACGTAAAATCCGGCTTACGCGGTAATACCAGTCACGGAGAATGTACAACTTAATCCCGCGGCGCCGACGTATGGAATGAGCGTTTTTCAGCGGTTATGATTTATAATCCACCTTCTTTTCATGGTCTACCTCGGTCCATGAAGTTCCCGCGGCTGCATTTTACCGCTACTTCGGGGCGCTGTAAATTCGTTTCTCTTGGAACCGGTAAACTCAATATAGCCACCTGGTTCAAGGACGCATTAGCATCCCTCGAGGAAAACGCGAGGTTCTTAGTACCGAGCGTTTATCCTTCCACCTATCTACCCATCCATGCTTTCCGCCCGTCGTTCAGCCTATCAGTCCGTCGGTCAGTGAGAAATTTTGTCCTCGAAGGTCAATTACAGCCGCGCGCTTCTCGCCTTCAATTCGCGCTTCATGTCTCGCGGACGTTTCCTCGACCACTCTCGTTGTCGCTCGATCTCCCTTTGGCTCATGCTACGCGATGTCTGTCGATATGCCTGTACATTTGCCCACATGAATGAGTCAGACTGAGTGAGCCTTGAATGGAAACAGTGCTTCCTTCCCGAATTTTCCATTTCGCTTGGGATAAACAGCGAGACTTTCGCACAAGTACCTATATGAATATGTATCGGACTGTGAGTTTTGCTGCGACCACCCTCGGGAAACATGTACCTACGTGGTGCTACGGATGATGTGGTGCATTCTCTGGCTCTGTTGATTCGCAGCGAAAATATCCTTCGATTCCAGACAGAGCCCACCGGATCGAGAATCGCATTCTGGTCACTGTTGGACATGCGGATTTTCATTTGAAACATCACAAACTTATTCGATTGTTCAGTCCCTCTAATTCATGCGCTCCACACGCCTGGTTCGGTGGACCGCACGATCGCGGGGGAGCTTGGTCCCCGATAGTGGGGGATTTGAGAGACTGATAAAGTCATCATTAGGGCTATGATGAGAATTTCGAGCGCTGTGGGGAAGGATCACCGACAAAGGGTCTGGAAGACGCCGAGGATAGTAAAAGCGGTCACGAGCGCCCGTGACTGTCCCGATACAGAGCCGTCGTAGGGCTACCCGTCTAGCT